AAAGTGCTGGGATTACAGGCTTGAGCCACCGCGCCTGGCCTCATCTTTTATGTTCTTAATTGTGCAATTCAAAAGACTAAATTCCCATCAGTAGGTTATATACAGTTTAATATTGCTGGCTGGCATGTTTAGGATTCTGGAGCTAATGTTTATATCTTTCAAATCTAGATCAAGCTAATGTCCTTGCACATTATTATAATACTAGTGACTTACTGGGAATGCTATGTAAATAAAAAATTCTTTGTATGAATTTCAGTTTGTGATTTAGATCAAACTAATGATGACTGCAGTCATTATTGCCTCCTTTAATACAGAAAATAATCATATGCCTCTTTCTTTTATTTTTTAAATGAAGTTGTCCATGATACTGAATTCTGATTCTTTATGATGTGTACTGGTTTTGTTTTGTTTTTATCAGGTTGTCCTGACAAAAGCTTTGGATCCAAATGTAAAAGTCCACTTGGTGGATTTCAGGGATGTATGAGGCTCATTTCTATCGGTGGCAGAGTGGTAGATCTGATTTCAGTTCAGCAGGGGTCCCTTGGGAACTTCAGTGACCTTCAGATAGACTCGTGTGGCATCTCAGACAGGTAAGGGCAGTCTCACTTCATTTCGACCTCCTTTCAAACTTTGGCATCGGATTAAAATTTATGTATAAGATGAACAATTATTCTCTCCTCTTCCCCATTCTTATCTGTTCCACAGGAAATGGAGTGTATTTACATTACAAATAAGAAAAAATGCACCCTTTGTTTAAATGTCATGTTTTAAATGACAGAATTTAGAAGACTTGGCCATGTTATGTATGGCTACATATGTACACATGCTACCAGTTCTCGAAAGATACTGTTGATGCTGCTGTAATTTTAGAGAAGTATAGATGTGTTAAAAAATATGTCATTAAACTCAATATATCAAGGCACTTGAACAGTAAAGTTGATCATCAGGTACCAATACATTTGAGACTATGTGGTTAGTTATCAAACTGGCATTTGCTACCCTGACAGCGGAATATTTTCCAAGGCAGGGAAATTCAACTGGTTACACTTCACCTAATGTTCCTCTTTAATAACCCATTACCATCTTCTCTGTAGGGAAAATGAAAACAAACTTCTCTAGAGAAGCTTGGGATTGTGGTATTGATCAAGGTATAAGGATGATCAAAGAGTTTCAACAAGAGCATCAGTACAGGACGTGACAAGGCAGGACTTGAGAGTTAATTGTGGAGGACAAATAACCTTAAAAATAATATATATTTTTGGCTGGGCGCGGTGGCTCATGCCTGTAATCCCAGCACTTTGGGAGGCCAAGGCAGGTGCATTACCTGAGATCAGGAGTTCGAGACCAGCCTGGCCAACCTGGTGAAACCCCATCTCTACTAAAAATACCAAAATTAGCTGGATGTGGTGGCAGTTGCCTGTAATCCCAGCTACTCGGGAGACTGAGGCAGGAGAATCACTTGAACCAGGGAGGCGGAGGTTGCAGTGAGCCGAGTTCATGCCATTGCACTTTAGCCTCGGTGACAGAGCAAGACTCTGTCATAAATAAATAAATAAATAAATAAATAAATAAATAAATAAATAAAATTTTTTGAGACAAGATCTGGCTCTGTTGCCCAGGCTAGAGGGCAGTGGTGCGATCTTAGCTTCCTGCAACCTCCACCTCCTTAGCTCAAGCCATCCTCCTATCTCAGCCTTCTGAGTCGCTGGGACTATAGGCACACACCACCAGGCCTAGCTAATTTCTGTATTTTTTGGTAGAGACAGGGTTTTGCCATGTTGCCCAGGATGGTCTCAAACACATGCGCTCAGGCTGTATGCCCACTTCAGCCTCCCAGAGTGCTGGAATTACAGGTGTGAGCCACTGTGCCCAGCCAAAAATAATAATTAATAGTAATAATTGAAACCTGTGGTTAGGCATGAGCAACTATAGCTAAGTCATCTTGCCAGTCATGCTTTAATATCAAGGCTGTTAATTTTAATTATTGAGTTTAATGGAATGTCATAACCATTACATATTAAACGATTTTTAAAACAGTGTGACCAAATTAGCCTCTACCCTGTAGTAATGTTCAATATGTATTTTGAATAAATACATAAATTAGGAGCATCAAAAGTAACTTTTTACTTTTATGAGACGTTTTGTCAACAAAAAGACTCTTCTATTTGTATCCAGCAGACCGCTCAGTAATATTTGTCAATCCTGTTTTGAACACTGATAGATACTTCATGATGTCCAGAAAACAGTAATAATCACCATATTTAGCAATAGGAGTAGAAGGACATAATTTCCTCCCCACAAATACTCATTTATTTATTTAAAACAATTTGCATTTATTTATTTAAAACAATTCTTTCTATAATGAAAGATGATATGAAAAGAGAGAATTTAGACATTAAACCTCAACTGGCTTGATTTGGGGATTGAATGACTTCTGGGTCCATTTGTTGCAAACTTGTCCGTAGTTACAACCTTAACAGCTCTGGAACCTAAAACCTGATTTGGGGGAGGGCACACAGAGAGGCTTTCCGGGCCTGGCTTCTCAATATAAGGCTTGCTCACAGAGGCAGGGACTCCCCAACCCCTGATGAGGAGCAGCCATCGGGGAAACTGGCAGGGAGAGGCTCAGTCATGCACACTGTGGGTGGTAGTGCATGTTGATTATCTTGGATTGCAGAACATTCATTTGGTACAAGTATATCTACCCTTTGCCCTATGTGGACATGTTCTGGAGCTGCCATTTCACACAAGGACTCCCGGTTGCCTGCTTTCTGAAGGTACATACTTTCTGTAAAATAGAGGACCATCAGCACATTTGGAGAATATATCACTTTAGTGCTATACCTTAAAAATGCTTTTCAGAAATAGTAAATTATGGGTAGACCTTGACTATACATTTTCTTTTTAAAAGACACTTTAGGCTAACAGTAACCCTAACAATCTTAAAAATATAGCAAAAATCAAAGTAACATTTGCATACTTTTTAAATTTCCAGGTGTATCTCTAAACCTGTTGTCTTACACTCAGAAGAAGATATATATTTAGTTTGGTCTTATATGCTATACTTACTGACATGGCATCCCAAGAGGGATGGCATCCCAAGAATTAAATGGAGCCTTTTAGAAAAAGGTCTGTGTACCAGGCCTTATGCTAAGCACTTAACATGAATGAGCATTTAAATCAAGCCTCACAAAATCTCTTAGAACCTGTTCTTAATAGTGTTTGTTTCCTATAAATATGGAAACAGATGCACAGAGAGAATAAGTTGGCTAAAATGACATGGCTAAGAAAAGGCAGAGCCCAGCCTCTAGCCCAAGCACCGTGGATCTAGGGAAGTCTCCCTGAAATGTTTGCCTGCCATGCCATGCAGCACCTCTGGGTGCAAGTTAAAGTTTGGGGTGGTTAATATTTAATCCATGCATAATAAATGTATCATTTGATGGTTCAATAAACTGTAATTAAAAACAGGCAGTAACAGCCAGCCAGACATGGTGGCTCACACCTGTAATCCCAGCACTTTGGGAGGCCAAGACAGGTGGATCACCTGAGGTCAGGAGTTCAAGACCAGCCTGGCTAACATGGCGAAACCCCGTCTCTACTAATAATACAAAAAACTAAAATAAAATAACAAAGTCGAGCGTGGTGGTGCACGCCTATAATCCCAGCTCCTTGGGAGGCTGAGGCAGGAGAATTGCCTGAACCCAGGAGACCTGAACCCAGGTTGCAGTGAGCCAAGATTTTGCCATTGCACTCCAGCCTCAGCAACATGAGTGAAACTCCGTCTCCAAAAACAAAAACAAACAAACAGGCAGTAATGTTAAAAACATTAGCAATCTGATAGGAACTTAAAACAAGGCAGGTTTTTAAAAAACTATAATTGACTTTAAGTTGGCTCAAACGTAAACATAAAGGTGTAAATACAAATGCACACACGTGTTCACGTTTATACCACATGGCTATTCACACAGACTCTCTATACACATGCACCAATGTGACCTTTGCACACCGTTTCTCTCACATGGACACTCATATGCTCATTCACATAGTCCAAAGCTCCTTACACATTCACACACCATCCTTACACACGTTTATACAACTCACATATTAATCTTTACTCATGCACACTCACACACTCACACAACCATTGTTTTACACTTCTACACTTATGAGTCATTCCCACATGTCTTATGTTCACATCTTCCTTACACAGAGTCACTCCCTACACACACACACACACACACACACACACACACACACACACACACACACTTAGAAGCCCTCCCCTTGTCCTCTGTGGACATGCAGCAGGGTGGCCCTCAGTCCAGAGACTTCGGAGACGAATGGCTGAGGGGTGAGTACAGAACTGAAAAGGCAGCTGCTGTCCAGGTCCCCACATCTGGGGCCGAAATGTGAGTGGGACTGGGGCAGGAGTGATGGCTACTAAGACAAAAATTCTTACGAAGTTGCTTGGGCGTAAAACACTTATTAAAGGAAATTGTTAAGTATATCATTTGGTATCAAAGCACACCTGGGCTGCAGAGAGACCCCTGACAGGAACTAACAGGCTGTTGAGTGACAATGTACACCTTGTGACCTTAGCAAGCCCAGTACCCAACTCCTGGCTTCCTTGCCTCCAGCCTCTGTACCTCCATCACCTGTCCTTCCAGTCCACTTCTGTTACCCAGCCCTCGGGCTCTGGCCTCCAGCCTCCACGGCACCATCCTCCACAGGCCCGTTGTTTTCCTCCTCGTTTGTGGTGGAGTTTCTACCTGCCTACCTTGCCTCCCCTCTTCTCCATGGAACCCCCAAGCCTGCCCTTTGTTCCTTATGCTGACATACGGGGTTTATTCCAGTTGATTTGAAGATCATGGTGTTATTCTGCCTCCTCTAATACTGCAGGCATGGCCCTTTTGGAGGCGAGCACTAGGGACATGAGGAGCTTGGTTCTTGTCAATATCAAAGTTTTGAGAAAGAATGTAAGATTTGAATGGTGGTGGTCACCATTATCCTAGCACTCACTGGCACTTAGGTTTATTTCCCTAAATATGATAATGTTGTATAGAGCTTACTTCAGTATTAATTCCAGCAAATCTTTACATTGTATGAAAGCTTTTGAAATTTATATTGTAATGGACAGGGAATCAGGAGAAATCAAAATCTTACTATCACTTTAGGTTTGGGTATGTTGATGTAAGCATTTGTTCAAGTTCACAAGCAATGGAAATGATGGCAGTGTCCGAGGAAAAGCTTTAGTGGCTAGAGAAAATGGGTTAATAATTGTCTTATCTTGTATTGTAATGAATAGGGAGGAGGAAAGTGTAAAATACAACAGTTTAGAACATTTGGTGAGAATGAATACTATAGAACATAAATTGCCATAGATTACTGGTAGTAAACATTACGATAGTATAGTGACTTTAAATAAAAGTCACAATTTAATCTTTCACATTTGAATTAAAATTATGAAAAATCTGGTCTAACAAGAATCAAGAAAAATGGACTAGGTTGGTCTTTTTGAAGCAGATCAAATAGAAATAGCATATGTATCACAGCCATTTAAGAGTCATTCTTTTGGATTTTAGGCAAAGCCACTTATACTGAACTCCTTTTAAAACATGGTTTGAGGTTTGCTACAGAATAACCTTTGGTTTTCTGTTCCTGCATTAGCTTGCTAAGGATAGTGGACTCCAGTTCCGTCTATGTTCCTGCAAAAGATGTGATCTCATTCTGTTTTTATGACTGCATAGTATTCCATGGTGTCTGTGTAGCACATTTTCTTTATCTGGTTTATCACTGATGGGCATTTAGGTTGATTCCGTGTCTGCCATTGTGAATACTAATGCAATGAATACAACGTGTTCTTACTTATAAGTGGGAGCTAAATGATGAGAACACATAGACCCAAAGAAGGGAACAACACATACTGGGACCTGTTGGAAGTTGGAGGGTGGAAGGAGGGAAGGGAGAGGATCAGGAAAAATAACTAATGGGTACTAAGCTTTATATCTGGGTGATGAAATAACCTGTACAACAAACCCTTATGACACAGGTTTACCTGGTAACAAACCTGCACATAAGTTACCCCTGAACTTAAGAGTTAACAAAAAAAAAGACATAAATATACTCCATAGGGGGAAATAAAAGCCTTTTCTGAATAATGTCATTTCTGGTTTGATTACCAACTAGAATTGTTATTGTTTTAATATTTTAAAGTCTCCCTGTTTTTACACATTGTCATTGATTTGAAATCTTAAAATTAATCATGATACATTTTTGAATGAATTCCTGTGAATCTATAAAAATGCTAAATATGTATAAACTTAATGGATATGAAGAGATGGTCATTATTAATTTTTGGTTTCTTAAAAAGCAGATTGTAAAGTAGCTTTTCCTTATGATTATATTTATGGACATACACACAGATCTGTAAGTTTGTAGTGATCGTTCATACGCAGTGAGATGCCAGTGACATTTCTTTTTTATTTTTTCCTGGATTGTTTAATTTCTGTACAGTGGACATCTCTTTTTTGTAACCAGGAAAAATACACAATATTGTTTTTAGTTAAAAATTGGAAAAAATTCTGTAAGCAAAACATGAAGTTTCCATCCTTTGTTTTAATAAAGGAGATGGCAAACCTGTAATTCCAGCACTTTGGGAGGCCGAGGTGGGCGGATCACGAGGTCAGGAGATCGAGACCATCCTGGCTAACACGGTGAAACCCTGTCTCTACTAAAAAATACAAAAAATTAGCTGGGCATAGTGGCAGGCACTGGAGGCTGAGGCAGGAGAATGGCGTGAACCCAGGAGGCGGAGCTTGCAATGAGCTGAGAAGGTGCCATTGCACTACAGCCTGGGCAACAGAGCGATACTCTGTCTCAAAGAAATAAAAATAAAAATAAAGGAGACCGCAGAAACCCTATTATGAATATATTCTTGGCGAGTTTTGTAGTTTTTTTTAAAGCTGGGATTTTTTGGTGGATTTTTTTTAAAATGAGGCATTTAAAGCCTTGGTCTCTTGGTATGTTTCATTCTGAATCCTAAAAGGGATCAATAATTTGATCAGGGCTATTTGATCAAGTTCCCGAACTGTTTGCTCATGGTGCTCTAGCTGTCTCAGTAACTTTTTACCGCACGTCTAAGCTGAAAGATAGACCTAACACTTTGATTTTAAAAGTGGTTTAGCTACGAATAACTTAATAAGTATTTATTTCCTTACAACTGGCTAACAGTGTCAGTGAGATGAGGCCATCTGTGTTTGCTTATTGGTGCTTAAAGAAGTTAGGTTCCTACCTCCCCAGAGACTGGGAAATAGGGGCTGTATCTTTCTTAATGCTTCCATTTCAAAGGGGTGGCTCCCAGGTCCTTGAAAGACATTCCCGGGTTGTAAAACAGGCAAGAGGCTGGGAGAAGATTTATATCTGAAAGGGACAAAGAAAGAATTGATCATGGAAAGTTTTCTAAAGTAAAGGCTCTAAGATAAGGGAGGTCAAGTGCCTGTAGTCAGCAAGAAACCTATCCAAATTGTGATTAAGCTGAGGGGAATGTTAGTGCCATTTTAGTCCTTATAATCAGGAAAAAAAAAAAAAATCCATAATATCCTTTTCAGTTAAAACTGGAAAAATTCTGTAAGCAAAACAGGAAGTTCTCCTCCTTAGTTTTAATAAAGGAGACGGTAAAAACCCCATCACAAGTATGTTCTTGTAGGTTTTGTAGTTTATTTAGTTGTTAATCTGTAATGAATGAGGGCATTTAAAGTCTTAATCTCAATGTACCTTTCATTCTAAATCCTAAAAGTCATCACAAATCTGATTAGGGCTGTTTTAGTCAATAACAAAACATTCCAGACTTTTTCATCTATGGTGCCCTATGAGTCTCGGTAATTTTCACCGTGCCCCTAGGCCAAAAGACATTCCTAACACTAGAAATATATCCCTAACCTTAAAAAGTGGTTTGGGTCCAAAAAACTAACAAATATGCCATAACAACCTAGGAATCTTTTGAAAAAAGTAATATGCATGATTTGGAAAATAATTATTTTTAATTAAACACAATTACTTAGTATTTGGACATGTGTGCCTGTTGAACACACCACCGTTTCTCAAGACTTGAAATCAGATCTGATTCCAGTGCCGGGCGTGGAGGCGAAAGCCTGTAATCCCAGCTACTCCAGAGGCTAAGGCAGGAGAATACAGGAGGCAGAACCCCTGCTCGAACCCAGGAGGCGGAGCTTGTAGTGAGCCGAGATGGTGCCACTGCACCCCAGCCTGGGCAACAGTGAGACTCTGTCTCAAAAAAAAAAAAAAAAAAAAAAAAAAAAAAAACCAAAACAGCAACAACAACAAAAAACAGATGAGACTCCAGTAGCCTAATATTTTTGTTCAATGTTGATTTCACGTGGTACTTGCTTTTTAAAACATCAGTTACGGCCTGGCACGGTGGCTCACGCCTGGAATCCCAGCACTGTGGGAGTCCGGGGCGGGCGGATCACGAGGTCAGGAGATCGAGACCATCCTGGCTAACACGGTGAAACCCCGTCTCTAATAGAAATACAAAAAAATTAGCCGGCCGTGGTGGCAGGTGCCTGTAGTCCCAGCTACTCGGGAGGCTGAGGCAGGAGAATGCGGTGAACCCGGGAGCGGAGCTTGCAGTGAGCAGAGATGGCGCCGCTGTACTCCAGCCTGGGTGACTGAGGGAGACTCTGTCCAAATAAATAAATAAATAAATAAATAAATAATCAAATACTAAAACCTTGCTCCTCAAGGATAGGATGTGATTAAAGGGAATATTTAATGATCTAATGTTGAAACTAAATTACCTCAGGCTAGTTAGTAAGTCACACAGTGTTTGATAGGTGCTGAGTATGACAGGTATTTCTCTTGAAGACTTAAATTATCCTGGGAGTCCCTATAAGTTCTATTTTGCACCTTAGAGCACCCAGACACACTGCTTGAAATTTGTGAGTCTATACTGTGTATTCTCCTACATTCCTAGAAGTACACCTCAAGTGAAGAAAGATATTCCTCTGTCTTCCTTTTATCTTTTCTTCTATCTTTATTCCTTCTCCTTTCAGTGTTCGAACAATGTAGCAATTCAGTGTGATAAAATGTTATTTCATGTATGCTATGGATATTTCTGCCAACATATTGAATCCATGTTATGTCACTTAGGGAAAATGAAGGGCTCTGATATAGTGAGACATGTTGAAAATTAAGCAGTCACAACTACCTGAGAATTGGCTGAAATCTGATGAATGTATTGATCTAAGGTTTAGTTTTGTGATTAAAGTGATTAATAACAGACTGAAGCATCATTAGTCATTATGTTATAGTTGAAATGTATCTTTCTCATGACCATGTATAAATGGTCAATACTTTAAGATATCTAAAAATGGAAACTGGTGATTGTATCTGCACCTTCTTTTAGGTGTTCACCCAACTACTGTGAACACGGTGGGGAGTGTTCCCAGTCCTGGAGCGCCTTTCATTGTAACTGTACCAACACTGGTTACAGAGGAGCTACTTGCCATAACTGTAAGCGGAACACATCTGCTTTTTCTTGCCCCTGTGATGGTTTCTTTGTCCCATTTCCCTTTTCATTCCTGTGTGTCTATATGTCTGTTCTGTGCAAACTCAGCATCCAGTTGTTAATCTGCATCTCATTTCATAAAGTAGTCAAGATAGCCTATAGAAGTACATAATATGAAACAGGTGAGAAAAGAGGAGGATACCTGGCAAAGGGAAAATACATTCAGAAGATGAAAGGTAGCTAAGGATCGAAAACAAAGAAAATGCAGAAGGTGAATTTTGTTATCTTGTTCTGTTACTTGAATTGGGTCAGCATTTTGACACTAAACTTTCTAGAAGGCACAGTACAAGTGGAAACGGACTCAGTTACCAAATTCTTATTATTCGTGCACTTAAACAAAGAGATTCTCAGAAACAACCCTGGTTGGACTGGGGTGGGGTGGTTTGTGGCATGAAGATTCAGATATCCAATAGGGACTAGATGTCGTGGTCTATTTGGAGAGCTGTAACATAATGCCATAGTCTAGGTTATTTACAAACTGCAGAAATGTATTTCTCACCATTCTGGAGGCTGAGAAGTTCAAGATCAAGATGCCAGCAGATTAGGTGAGGGTGTGCTTCCTGGTTCATAGACTTCCATCTTCTCACCGTGTCCTCACATGGTGGAAGGGCTGAGGGATCTCTCTGGGAAATCTTTTACAAGAGCACTAAATCCCACTAATGGGGGCTTCACTCTCATGGCCTAATCACTTCACTAAGGCCCCACCTCCAAATACCACCATACTGGGGACTAAGTTTCAACATATGTGTTTTGAGAGGACACAAACCTTCAGTCTATTGCACAGATAATCCTTATATTATCTTGCAACCCTATTTAATGAGGGTGATAAGGAAAAGGGTGGCAGATAATGATTAAATTTTGGTGGTAGATAGTTAATGTTATTCAATGCTTTCTAAATGCCAGGTACCGATCTAATATTTTGTATGTCCTAGCTCGTTTAATTCTGATGGTCACCCTAGTAGGTGAATACTATTATAGGCAACTTACTTATAAAGAAATAGATATTAATCTACTTGTTCAAGGCTACTTAAAATAGTTGAGGCAGAGTGAGGATGTGAACATGTGACATCATCTTCTAGAGCCTGGGATAACAACCAATATCCTTTTTTTCCTATATTACAAATCCTGAATTTTTTTTTCTGATGAAATGGCTTGCGTGTGTTGTGAGGCTCATGTTATTTCATTGTCCAATTGTTCCAGGGCACAAATGGGAAGACCAGAATGCCCATTTTCCCGCCATTTTTTCTGATTATTACTGACATTTCTGAGCAACTGAACTAATGCTACCTGCTATATCCTTGATTTAAGACATGGGTGTTAGGTACAAAGCCATCAGTCTCACCACCCTTTGTCTATTACACTGTGCTCCTGCCAGAGTTGAGATTGGAATCCTGGGCTCCCAGCTCTGGGGGCCTGCACAGAGGACCCTCAGAAGCCCTGATTCGGTGCTGGGGAGGACATCACCAAGAGAATCTCCCAGCTCTACCACTATTGCCGGAGTCATTCCTGGGATGAATTGTGTATATTGAGGTGCCTCATAAGATTTTTATGAAGAATATTAGGTGGTAATAAAGCCACACCTCACCTGTACCCAGAAGCCAACACCTCACCTGTACCCACATGCCAAGTTATTTGACCCCGGACACCCAGCTAGTGGAGGGACAGTATATTTTAATTCTTTATATCCTCCATTATCCCCATGTAGTAACTAACTCAAAACAGAAAGCTATTCAGTGTTTTCATTGACTATTCATTTTAATTGTTATCAATGACTGAATCTAAATATAAACTAAACAACTCTGAAGACAAAAATTAGATAATAAATAGAGTTACTTTCATCTGTGACCCACAATTTGATCCAATAATTGAGTTTAATTTATTAGGTTCTTGAGAAGACGGCTCTAATAGAGTAGAAGGGTTTTTGCCCGTAACTATTCTAAGAAATGGAGCCCGAACGACAGTCTTGGCAATAGCGGAGGGCAGGAGATGGAGTTTGCTACGAAACCTTATTAGGAAATAATCAGTAAACAGTCATGTTATAAAAAGTCAAGCCATACACATAAATCAGCAGTCATGCTGTAAAAAGTCAAGCCATACACATAATTCAGAAGTCCTTCCAAGTATTCTTATCCAGTCCTTTTCCACAACCAGTCCCACCACAAAGTTAGGATATTCTGCCAAACTCTTTCAAGGACTTTATGAACATATGCGTGTGTACATCGAAATGTATAAACTAGTCATTTTTACATACCCACATCCGTGCACAAAATGCAAATGTGACTGGAAAATGAACCATGCTTATATCTCTATCAGCATGATATATAATAGGAACAAAATAAAACCGTCATACTGTGGAGAAGGGTGAAAGTAAATTTACATGATTACTTGAAATTTTGGTAACATAGAACAAATTAGCCATAGTATTTCACGTTGTCTAAACACTCATTAACATAATTTTCAAAACTAAAATAGATTCAGAGACAAATATTCAGGGGATTGTTTATTTCTCGTTTCACAGAATAAAATGCTTAACAGAAGCTATTGGTATAATTGGCCAAGTGTTCAATGAGAGGTGTGCATTATACACAAGTGTTGATATGAAACTTTGTACATAGCAAATTTAGGATTATATAATTAAAAACATCCAAACATCCGATTATGGGTCTAAACACATTGAAACCACTTGAGGGCATAGTTCATACAAGTATTTCTTCTGCTTTGAATTTTAATTATCTTGAATTCTCGTTACGGCATTGGTGGGAGTTTCTTTTGTAAATTACTCTAGAAATTATTGCTGAGGAGCTTTGTTTTGTGAACCACATTTGTTTTGTGAAAAAATATTTTGTCTATAGTTAATTTTCTATGAGAATGGACTATAGTTATAACATGATTTAAAATGTTTCTATTATAATTATTGGCTAACAGCAAATTATTTAAGGAGGTTACACTGTTGTGCTTCAGACATTAGGTTATTACAAGGTGCTACTAGAATTAGAAATTCCAAAATATGTGCCGCAAGATAAGTTACGACGTTATACTTACAAGGCTCTAACATTTAAACACCTACCTTCTCTTTCCTTGTTCTTCAGAATGTCAAAGTGGCTAAATTTTGGTTTTGACCAAGTGATTTCATTTTCATTTAGTGATTAAAAAAGTCACAAAATCAATCTCATTTTTTCTATCAAATCACTTTCATCCATATTAATTTTAAAAAAGAATGAGTTTTGTTTTAAAGTAAGTTTTGCCTTTTCCCCTGGTCAGTAGTGTACATATTAAATTTCAAGACTTGCAGTATTTCATGTCCAAGATAAAAGTTGAGATTCATTTCATGCTATTCCATTAATGATGTTTTTTTTTTAAAGCTATCTATGAGCAGTCATGTGAAGCCTATAAGCACAGAGGAAATACTTCAGGGTTTTACTATATAGATTCAGATGGAAGTGGTCCCCTGGAACCATTTCTTCTATATTGCAATATGACCGGTGAGTTAATCAGCTTTTATTTTATAGTTAAATTTGCATGCATGTTTTAAATATGCAAAATTAAAATGAAATCAGCAGAATGTTGATCTAATTTGCAACTTGATTAAAATGTGTATTGTTCCTTAGAAAAACTGAACATAAATCTTAAAAAAATAGTTAAATGGTAATGACTTTAAATATCTTTTTTAATGCATGTGGCATCTGTGTAAAACATCTAATAATAAATGTTTCCAATTATGTCCCCAAACAAAAAGGATAGATTATTTCTGGGAGAAGATTGATACATGTAAAACTTTGCAGAATATTTACTTTTTAAATGTATGTAAACATAAAGTTTACATCTTCTGGAATTCTTTACTTACATGAATTTACATAGAAATTAATAAACATGGGAAATGTGTTTGATTAAATGCAATATTCGTCCATAATTTAAAACACTCAACAAATTACCAATAGAAGGAAGTTTCCTTATTTTAATAAAGACCAGAAAACCTTATAGCATATATTAGTTTACAGTGGAATTTGAAAGCTTTTCCTGTTACCACCTTTAATACCATTCTCGTCACCATTGTATTGGAGGTCCTAGACAGTGAAATAAAGGAAGAGAAAGAAATGAAAAACATAAATATTGGGGAAAAAAAAGACTCAGATTCTCATTATTCATAGATAATCAGGTTGTGTATTAAAATACTCTAAACAATTTACAGATAAACTATTAAGATTAGGATTGCCATTGAACAATAAAATTAATTTTATTTTTGTATATCAACAATAACAATTAGAAAATAAACTTTTAGGAGATCATACTTTCAATAGCACAAAGTGTCTCAAACACATGGTAGTAAATCTAATGAAAGATGTACAAGGTTTCTACACAGATAAGTATAAAATGCCCTTTAGATGAACTAATATCCTAAATAAATGGAGGAATATAAAATGTTCATTGATCATGCCTGTAATCCCAGCACTTTGGGAGGCCAAGGCAGGTGGAGACCGCCCTGGCCAACATGGCAAAATCTCGTCTCTACTAAAGATACAAAAATTAGCTGGGTGTGGCACGCGCTTGTAATCCCAGCTACTCAGGAGGCTGAGGCAGGAGAATTGCTTGAACCCAGCAGGTGGAGGTTGCATTGAGCCGGGATTGTGCTACTGCACTCCAGCCTGGCGACAGCTTTTTTGAGACTCAATCTCAAAAAAAACCAAACAACAAAAAACAAAAAAACAAAAAAAAGTTCATTGATTAGAAGACTCAATATTGTATAATATCAGTTCTTCCAAACTAGATATTGATTCAGTGCAAACCTAAATTAAAACTCAAGCAGGGTGTTTATTTATAGGTTGGTGTGATTATTTTGGTGAAAATCAACAAGCATATTCTAAAATTCATGAGTAAATATGAAGAGGCAAGAAGAACCAAGTCAATCTTGAAGAACAAATTTGAAGGATTCAACTCTACTAGATAGATACAGGCATTATACGGATAGCTATGTAAAGCTGTATATAATTGTCACAAAGATAGATAAGCCAGTAAAAACAGAATAGAGAATTTATAAACAGACTCACTCATATATGGATAATTGATTTATGGCCAAGGTGGCATTGATATGTAATGAAGGAAAGATGGTCTTTTCAACCAGTAGTGCTGCTGGAAATTGTACTTAAATGTCAGTAAAAGGAGTATTGATCTCTTCCACATCAAACACACACACACAAAATAGATTCTAGATGAACTGTGCTGTCCAACATGGTAGCCACTAGCCAGTGCCTATTTAAATTCTAATTTAATTAAAATTAATTACAAAACAAAATTACTGCATTTTAAAAATTTAAACTTAAATTTAAAAATTGAACTAAAATAGGATTAAATTACAGCTGGGTGCAGTGGCTTACACCTGTAATCCCAGCACTTTTGAGAAGCAAGGCGGAGGCATCATTTGAGCCTAGGAGTTTGAGACCGGGCTGGGCAACATAGTGAGACCCCATCTGTATTTTTCTTTTTTTAAGTTTACTTTCTCAGTCTCTCTGGCTGCATTTTAACTGCTTAATAGCCTCCGGTGGCTAGTATGGAGTGTATCATTGTAGATGTAGAACCTTATCATTTGCTGAAAGTTACTTTGAGCTGAGATCAATGTAGCCGAGTGCTGTGTTAGAAGTCAGTATTTTATAGAGCAAAACCAAAGGAAAAGGGCAATATCATTATACCTTGAGGCAGAGGGTGTTGCAAAGGGAGATTTGGTACTAAAAATTGTGGAACATATCTTTCAGGCAGAGGAAACAGAAACTGCCAAGTTCTGAGACAGGTGATCTTACCAGGTGTGTTCAGAAAACAGCAGCAAACCTAGGGTAGCGGAAGTATGGTGAGTAAGTGGGGAGTAGGAAGAGAGGAGAGAATCAAGTAGGATGGGGAGGGGAAGAGTATGGGCTTCATGGCAATGTTGTAAGACCTTTGATTTTTTACTCTGAAATGAGATGAGAAGACACTGAGGAGTTTTAAGAAATGGTGGGATGCAATCTGACTTCCTTTAATTGGATTGCAACTGCTCCTGGGTTAGGGAATGCTTCTTCAGGAGCAGGGGTGGAAAGGAGTGAGGAGACTATGCATACCGTACTTTATAAGAGTTGAGAGACCGTTTCAAGTAATGCAAAAATCCAGTACTGATTGTACCAGAGAATAGCACTGTAGATGGAGGAAAGGTGTTAGATTTTTCTCTTTGCATACCTATGATGTGTGAGAAAACAAAAAGCCAAAAGTAACCACGCAGTTTTTGCCCTGGGTCATTGAGTGTTTGAACTGTTGTTCTTGCCGATGCCTTCAGACTATGTTTAAGGGAAAGAACATACCCTTTGTTTTCTATTTTTTTTTTTTTTTTTTTTTTTGAGTTTGAGGTGTCTGTTTCTCCACATTCAAACAAGATTCTGAGGAGGCATTTGAATTTGGGAGCAACCACTTCTTTATAGTAATGAATGTTTAGTTCTAAAAACTGCAGGTGGCGGCAAACTCTGTGCCAACACATATTTTGGCAGAAATTGCTATAGAATGTATCTTCAAAGGTTTTTCATTTAACACACTTGGTGGCTTCCATTTATCTCACAACCATTGAGGGCACTGCCCTATACACGAAAACAACCCAAAACAAATGGTGGTTCCTGCATATGTGTCTTCTCAATGAAGCTCTCCTGTCTGGACAGTACGAATGCCCAGACAGCACTGCAGGTGGTTCTGATGCAGAGCAACCACTGAGGTGGGTCAATGGAAAACATATCATCATGGATCTTCCCAAATGATTCTTATGTGTCCTTAGGTTTGGGAATCACTGTTTTAGACTTCATGGTTCTCAAACTTTAGTATGCACTGGCAACTCTGGTACGTGAGAATTAAACAACAAATGTGAGAGGACTTTACAGAGGAAAAAAGAGAAGACTTTACAAGTGTAAGATATGAATTCCAGTGCCAAAATGTTTTATTATTTTGTTTTCAGCTTGGATAGGTTGGATTGTGAGTGAGATTTATGTAACAATCCACCACTGCAAACCTGTAAGTTCTATGTTCCCATAAATGCATCTGGAGGTATACACATACACATGTTATAGAAAGTTTCATTCTGAAATTAGACAGTGATAGGTTGATAAATATCTCTAGCCTTTGAAGCTTTAAGAAGCATGCATACACACACACACACACACCCTATCCATTCTCATTGTTTGCAGTAGTTATGTTCTGTAAAGTAACCAGAAACACTGGATTAGAAAACACTGAACAAATTGCTCCTAGCAGGAAGCACAGTAAGGTCAGTTTCCTGCAAGCCTCTGGTCACAATGGTCTCATCCACCAATCAATACATAATCTTGTTTTATGTGTGTTTCAGGTTAAAGACACCTTATTTAATACATACTGTTGATTCATTAACATTGAGCTCATGGCGAAGAGCACTGTAGCTCAAGCTTGAGCAAAGCTTATCTCACACGTGTTTTCTTTCTAAGGCTCAGTGCATGCAGCCGTCTGTGCTTAGGAACTCGACAACATTTCTGGGAGTTGGGGGGCATTTTAAACAGCAAAATCACCAACCAGTAGCACAAAAATGCAAAAAATGTGGCACTTAATAGACTACAAATGAGACATTTGTTTATTGTATGAGAGCTGAAACAAGAAAACAGTGTTTCCTTGTTCAGCTCTAACAGGGTATGTGAATGTCAGGCAGGCCAAATTTTTGTGGCTCTGTATGTGTTCACAAATGACTGTGAAAGCATTGGGGTTACAAATGAATTTTAACAAATAGGCAAATTCACAAATAATGAGAATCCGTGTGTAATGAATATCGACTACATATATTATGTTTATTATGGGTAATAATTTAGTAATTTATAGGCCATATGTATTTTTTATTATGTAAATGATAAATTATCAATTTTATTTTATTGAATACATTATTTGCATTAAATCAACATTTACTTTTTTTATATTACATAGCAAATTAATGTACCTTATTATAGAAAATGTATCTTTGATAAACAAATTATTTGGGGAAAAAATTGTAGTTAAGACTAAACAATTCTAAGATACCTGAAGAGTATGTATGTGTGTGTGTAGAGAGAGAGAAAGAGAGAACAAATTCCATGTTTTAGGAGCTTAAACTTTGAAATGAGGTCAGATGGGTCATAGATCCCAAATGAAAAAAAAAAAAATGACTGGAGTCACTGGAAGTATGCAGAGATTAAAGGTGCTTCATTCAGCAAGATTATGCAAAAGTATTGATGAAAAAGAGGATATTCAGAAAATTTTTAAAGCCACGTAGATAGCAAGATATTCAGAAATACAGATACCCAGAGACAGCTAAATGTCTTCAGTAGCTCTGGAATATAGGAACACATTCAAGCAAAAGTGACAACCCCAGAGTATTGCAACCCAGTGAGAAATACATGTTACTCCTTGAAACTTTCCTTATTGATCCGGTTTTGCAAATGAGGAAGCCAAGAATGGAGGAGGTTAAGTGTAGGAGGTA